TACAACACATCTTAAGGGATTCATGCTGTCCCACCAGATCAGCAGAGCTTGTAAAACAAATTTTTGAATCGGCATTAGTTTTACTCTTATTCGAGGTCCGTATATACAAAATCCCCCCATTAAATATCTGAACAAATAAAAAATTTGAAGTAGCGCATGCGCAAAACAAACTACAAACAAACAACATACAAAATAAATATATTAACAAATAAAAAACCTGCGCAAAACAAATTTGTTGATTCGGGATTAGTTTTACTTTTATTCGAGGTGCCTACTTTCATTTAAATATCTTAACAAATAAAAAAAATGGGATTGCGCAAATATAAAAGTGGTAATGCGCATGCACAATGCTTTTTGCATCTGCATAGTCGCCTGAAGTTTAAGGAATATTTACTAACACATAAAACCGGACATTCATATGTTCTTTGTAACAAGAGTTGTAAAAGAAACCCTTTTTGGAGCTTTGGGCGGTGTTTGGGCTGTAACTTTTTGGCCCGTTGTATATACAGGGTGAGTTTTTTTCATTTTAAGCATTAGGATCTCGAAAACGTAAGACATAGAGATTCGGTTAAATGAGAAAAGAGTTGTCGTTTTAAGAGCTTATTCAAGATATGCTTTTGTTTTTTGAAAAAAATCCACAGTTTACTAGATATGAGCGATAAATAGATTTAGTGATTTTTCTTTTACATGTTGTAGCATCGTTAGTATTAGAAATACAGAAATATGCAAAGAACAAAAATTGTAGATTTTTTTCCGGTTAATAAGGTACATTTATTAATTAACATTCTTCTTTTATAATTTTCGAGTTATAACTCAAACTTAAATTTTTTTAAATGGCAACCATAGCTGGATGTGACATTTTTAAAAAGGGGATTTTTTTTATGTTTACGATGGTGTAAGGTTTATTGTACCATTGTATGTATATACAATGATTGTACTAACTTTGGCAAGTCAACATGATACAGAACTGTTTGTGTTATTAAGAGTAGTAAAAACAGAGTTTATCATGGGAAACATTTTTGTTCTCTTAATTACGCAGTCTATTATAATATTTAACTTAAAACTTTAGTGCCGCAAATAGAACGATAACGAAAAGAAATTACGAAATATTACATTTAAATTTCTACTTTGAAGTAATTACATGTAAAAAAATTAATTTATCTCGGCAAATGTTCAAAGTGCCCATCATTAATATTTACACACAAGCGGCCTTTTCGCGATAGAATTTACAGCTTTCCGTATTATACTACCATCGAAAATGCGAAAGACCACAGCATCATGTAGTCTTTTATCGCATAAGTTCGCTGATAAATTAAACCCTTTTAGAACACCGAAAAGGAAAAATCTAAAATTGAAAGATCTGGCGATCTTGGTGCCAAAGGGCCGTCCCGTTCCTACCTATATAATATATATAGCATGGAGTTCCACAAGGCTCTATCTTGGGACCATTATTTTTTATTGTTTACATTAACGATTTCTTTAAATTTGTGCATCCCAATGACTGCATTGCTTATGCGAATGACACTTCGTTAATCGTATCAGGCAAAGATGCTTCAACTCTTACCACCAAAAGCCTGAACTTATTACAAGGAGCATCTACTTGGTTCGCTCACAATAACTTAAAATTAAATAAAGACAAAACACATATTATTACCTTTTCAACAAACAGCAAGCTTGTCACGGGCAAATGTGCTAAAGTGTTAGGAGTTTACGTAGACGATAGGTTGAGTTGGAGCAGTCATGTCGACCATGTTATACAGAAATTGTCAAAGTCACTCTTTGTACTAAGGAATCTTAAACGATCAATCAGTGCAGATACTTTAAAATCCTGCTACATCGCACTATTTCACTCCCATCTGCAATATGGTGTTATGTTGTGGGGTAATTCATCTAAAGCATATAAAGTTTTTATTCTTCAAAAAAAAGTAATTCGCATGATGGTAGGTGCTGAATATCGTGCGCACTGTCAACCCTACTTTAAGCAATTGCGCATTATGCTATTACCATCCATATTCATTTTTGTGGCACTATTGGAAATTCCTAAAAATAAAGGTAATTTTGTTACAAACGACCTTGCTCACTCTTACAATATCCGTGGAGCAAAAAATATTAGGACACCCTATTGCAGATTAGAGATATAAAAACAAAATAGTCTACGAGTAGAGTTTTACAATATTCTTCCCGAATAACTACATTAATTTTAAAAAGAGTGTTAAGAAGGACATGCTTAAACATTGTTTCTACTCCGTGCGCGAATATTTAAATACTAAGATGACTGTTTGTTCCTAATAATGTTAAATGTTTTACGTTTAGTTAGTCACATATTATATTGTTTGGTCCATCAATCATTTTATTGTGTATTTTATATTATGTTTGTATGTAGAACTGGACGTGTCGTAAACCAGATGGTATATAAATATTATTGTTATTTTGTTTATTTATTGTTTTCCATGGCATGATACGATCTACTTTTAATAGTGTATTGAATATTTAACTTTCATAGTGAATTTTCGAAAACGCCTTTAAATATGTTAAATGTGCCACAGTTACACTATCACCTATCTCACTAGATGTTGTTTTCCATGGCAAACTCTGTTTATTTACCTCTCAATAATACCAAAATTCCTGCAGCGCGTTTAGTTATTAAAGTACATTTAGCAAACCTTATATTGTTATAAAGAGAAAAATTTGTCCTTTTTAAAAATGTCAAAGCCAACTATGACTATCATTTAAAAAAATTAAAGTTTGTATACTCAAAAATTGTAAAATATAGAAGGAAATTAGTAAGTTCATAATGTTAAGCATTAAAATGTCTAAAACTTCTATTCGTGTCAGTTTGCTGTATTTCTAATAATAACTATTCTACAACAATTAAATGAAAAATCACTACCTACCTAAATCTGTTTTTCGCTCCTATCTAGTAAACTGTGGATTTTTTTCAAAAAACAAAAGCATATCTTAAAAAAGCTCTTAAACCGACAACTCTTTGCTCATTAACCGAATCGGTATGTCTTATGGTTTCCGAGATCCCAATGCTTAAAATGAAAAAAAAACTCACCCTGTATATGTTAGGAGTACAATTCCTTTTCTAGGTATTTCTTTTAGCATTTTCAGTGTGATGTGATCAGGCCCAGGTGATTTTCTGGTATTTAGAAGACCGATTGCTTTTTTAATTTCGTGGGGAGTAATTAGTTTTATGTGACCGGTCTTTTCCATAAGACTTGGCAATCATTTCTTGTGTTGGTGCAGCATCTTCAAGGCTAAATACTTCAGCCAAGTGTTGTGCAAACAGATCGGCTTTGTCCTTGCTACTTCTAGCCCAGTTTCCAGGAATGGGGGTATCTTTGCGGATTAGATAGTTTCTTTGTATTGGTTTTGTGGAAGCTTTTATAGGTTTCCATATTGAATTGTCAAACCGGTTAAGATTAGTGATATAATGCTAGAATTACTTGTTGAATGTAGTTTTGTCTCCTGGTGAATGATACCGATGCCATCTGGCTCGGGCTTTCCTTTTCTCTATAATCAGTTTTTTGATTTCGAACGAAATGTTGAGAGATCTTCCTTGGACTTTCAATTTTGGTGTAGCATGACTTGCTGCTTCATGAAGCAGTGAAATTAGCTTGTTTGTAGCTTTTTCTAGCTTCTTGAGTGATTTCAGGTTTACAGTTTCATTGATTTTGTTTTTATAGGCTTCCCAGTCGGTTCTTGAGTTATGCAGTCTGGGTATTTTTTTAACATTTATTACTGTTGTAGCAATTGTTGCGATTACAGGCGTGTGATCCGATGACAGATCGTAATTCGATTCTATGTGTATATATGAGCTGGAAATACCATTTGTGACAAAGAAATCCAGCATGTCTGGTATTTTCTTAGGATCTGACGGCTAGTAGGTTGGGGTGCCGGTGGCTAGGAATGAATACCTTTTCTATAGTAGTGCTTTGGACATTTCTTTTCCCTTTGTAGTAGTGAAAAGTAATCTCCATAAAGTGTTCACTTTTTGTTCTGCGTAAGACACGACAAGCTTGCTTCTTTTGAGAATCACTAAATTGTATAATACAGTATATACAGAATGATTACTTTAAAAGAATACATACGTACAAATCTGATATCGCTTTTCAAAGCTGCAACCATGTAGTAAACATCTATTAAATGCTGTAACATTTATATTTTACTCCCTAGCTATAAAATTCAAATCTAACGTTTGGGCTATTACTGTATGAGTTGGTAGCAAGTAGCAAACCGTCTTAACAAAATCATCACAATAAACAAGTGCCGTATTTCCGATTCAAGTTCGTGTGAAGATAATCAAGAGCCATTGAAGTACAATTATCTTGATTAAACTTAGGTGATTTAGTTGTCTCCTATAGCTACTATTAGGTACAGGCTTCGAGGATATTGGTACTAGAGAAAGGTGATATATTGCAGCTTAGACAATACAATTATGGGGAGACCCTATCGCAAGGATCAAATTACGATTCAATAGAGTAGCATTAAATGAGAAATAGTCGTATAATATGGTAGGTTCTCCATCTTGCGCTAATTTATAGATTGATCACTTGTATGAACAATTTCATAACAATAAATTACTTTGATTAAAACTATACGATCCACTCTAAATGTGAAATTCACAGGGGAGCTGGAAGGATAATTAATTCTTCAATATCTGTTATACGCCTCAAATGGGGGATTGTGTGTTTTCGTCGATATCGAGAAGAGCTCTTACAATTGGTTATTTTTCGTGTGCAGATGACAGCCACCATTTATTTACGTATACAATTTTGAAAAAATTATATGCTCTGCAAGGCAAGCAAATTAATTAAAATTGCAACTAAATATCCCCATATTCAGAGGGAATACTTACACTCAATAACAATGCCTGTGTATTTAGGCAGAACCTGTTTAGTAATTCTATTGCTTTAATGGTATTATTCCAATTGCGTATGAAAACAACCGTTATGATTGACTGTTTAATTAGGGTTTCAAATCAAATTCGTACTCACTCATCCACACAATGGCCGGCGGTTGCGATCCAATTTTCGTTTAGAATAGCACCTCCACATCGATGAGTGCTTGAAAAGCCAAAAAATGAAGTTCTCCTCACAGACACCTACAAACAATTAAAAAAATGTTATAATTAAATTTTCTTAGCATACAATCAAGTTGCACGATAAACTATATTATATTCATTTCACGTTGTCATTTATTACACACACGTGAAATTTATAAACAGGTTAGGTATGTAATTTAAAAAGAAAGTATGTACAGACCTTTTCATGGCAATAATAAATCAATTCTGGGAAAATTATACGATTCCTCGATTGCAGTAGGTATTGCTATATGTAACATTTAAGATAAAATAAGGATGTTAGGAACCAATATTGAAGAAAATCTATATTGGAAGTAAAATATATTAAGCTTTTTTCTCGACAGGTTTAGATAGATATTAACAATATTTCACATAATGTTCGGGAGCAGCTTCCCTCCTCGTAGTTTTCTAGCAATAAATAACGAAAATATAATTTTTAATGTTCGTGAATGGTACAGATGTAATCCTCTATGGAGAAGGTGTTGAATGCACTCCAATTTAACCCTTGAATAACCACTTTAATAGCAGAAGGTAGGTTTTATTAAATGTTATTGAAATGTTTATGTGATTAATGGGATGTCATGTACAATATCTACAGTGTAATCGGCTGCTCTCACGTAAGTGGTGTCACATAAGCGGGATCCATTTTATTACCTACATAACATTAAATAAAAACTGAATATTGGATAATATAGCAACACATGCATTCACTATGGAAGTTATACGCCAGTTGCAATTGCGATATTATTCATGCACCAAGCGCGAGAACGTATAGTTTTATTTGCCTTTTATAGTCGTAATATTTGGAAATTTTAAACATTTCCACAAATGTAAGATTGGTACAGCAAAATGTGAGAATTTAGGCGGATGAACAAAGAATAATTGAACTCTTGGTTTGCTCTCAAATTTATACCTTTTAAATTTATAGTTGTTTATTATAGATAAAGAAAAAAGTGCTCTTGTATTATATAGATATAATTAGATAAACAAGTATAAATTGCGCACAACTCATGTGCAGATAAAGCGCATTTTTTAACCGAAATAGCTTTTGTTTTAACATCACCAATGGATATATGTCTTGCAGACGTTTCAATCGCCCTTTGTGAGGACCTTCTCCCGACAATCCGTTTTTGAGGTAAAAAGGAATATACCCGATCACGATAAGATTAATTCCTTTCGTTGTACCATGAAGGATAAAACTAGTTTTACTCCCCCCCCCCCGTACACTTTCATAAGAGCACCTTTCATTAGAATACAATGATAAAATTAATTTTTAACCCCACTATTCTGAAAATCCAGCTTTAAAACTACACTTTTTCCATTTAAATATCAGAAAAAATGATTTTCAGAAAAACAAAAATGCAAAATGATTCTCAGAAAATAAAAAATTATTTTAAGAAAATACAAATTTATTTTCAGAAAATTCGCAATGATTTTCAGAGCTTGTCATTTTAAAACGAGGATGCTGTGGACACCAAAACAAACACTCACACAAACGCACAAAGGCGGTAGGCATGATCGTCGCTTTGTCGCACAATACCTGAAGTCATGTAACATAACAATGCTGTTGATAATTATTTGTATATTTAAGTTCGCCCCTTGGAATATAATAATGCTGGTGATCTACAAACATTTTTCAATTTTTTTAATCTACGATATATATTTTCTACTTAGATTACTGTTTTCCTCAGAAGTGGAGGGTCACTTTCGTACTTTACCCAAACCCTTTCTAAAAGTGTTACATAAAGCACTCACCTCTAAACCCTAATCACACCTACTTCGAATTAAAGGAGCCAATTAATGACGAGTATAGATGTTGAGGTAATTAATTTACGTCGGCTCAACTAGCAGATATTGCATGTCTAAAAAGAAAAGGCAGCAAAATAGAAGTACTTATCACGTGTGACATTCCCCTATTTAAATCCAGTGAAGTTAGCCTTTACTTAACTTACCTTAACTTTATAGTTATAAATTATAATTTATATCTATTATTAAGCAGATAAACAAGGACAATAGACTGCTATATTGTGTCGATATCGTGGATGGTTAAATTAGTTAATTAGACACCACACATCACAGGCGTTAAACACTTGGGTAAAGCAAGACAAGGGTTTGATTTGACCACAGACGCAATTTTGTAATTTTTAACTTGTTTCATTCTTATGTAAAGAATAACTGCAAAAATGAAAATGCGGCAAAACGTATATCGGTACTCGATATTTATTATGCAACATCAGCATATCGAAGTTCTACACATCGCTATTCGATATTTCGATGTCGATATACCATATACCTACTCGATATATCGATCGTCGATGTTTTGCCATATTGTCATATCGATATTAGAAAAATATCGATACATATCGATATATCGCCCACCCCTAATCTAGGCAGGTTGCAACTTGCAAGACTAGGCAGGACCATAGCTCTGCCGAAGTAACGTAGAGAAAAAAATACCAAAAACTTCTAGAGCTAAGTTGGTAAGGTGAAATCAGAATATCGTTTACTCAAACATATACAATGCTCAAACTGCGTAAAATTCAGACTACTTCGCGTGGATCGTAGATCACCTTATGTTGTATAAGAATCTGTCCAGAATACATGTCAACTTCTACGAGAACGAACGGATCAAATTGCTGCTGACGCGCCATTTAATTAATAGCGACAAACACCTACAGAGGGCATCCCATTCACTTCTCAAATAGGTACGCTACCAAAGTTACACAAGCATAAGACATAGTTGCAAAATGTGATTCAATGTTTACAAACGATATCGTAAGCATACGGATTGGTACTTGGTAGCATATAGTACGTTAATAGACTAAAATTTCATATTTATGACACACCACATAAAGAAAGAACAAAGATACCTTTCGCCTTTGAATACTTAACACTAAAATGGAAAATTGTAAGCAGCTGCTACTTTCCACATATTTCATAAGTATTTTGTAAACGTTTTACATTGAATTGTTTCAGTCCCATTGTTATTTAATAAGCTTTGTGTAGTATTAGTTCTTATTTCAAAGAATGTACTTACACGACTTGATATTTCATAATCAACAATTTTAATCTCAACTGAACAGCTAATAGAAGGAAATCGATACTATCAACGAGGCGTTTACTTTTTATATCCATCTTAAATTCGCTAGTCTTAATTCGAAAATTCATGGCGGTGCTTGTCAGAATCTTTACTTTTTTATACGAATTATAGCAAAAGAAAAACTGTTAAAGAAACTATCCAGTATCCGGCCATTTATTTTGGTTATACATTACCGTCGTATCAATTCTATTTTAACATGTGGGTTGCGGGTGTAGATTTAGCAATTTATTGGAACGATCCTTAAAATCGTACGCGAATTTATCGAATATTGGAACATAACGTTTTATTTGCTCCTGCGAGTAGCTAGTATTTTTTATGAGACTTTGAGACCTTATTTTGTTTCACGTGTGTGTGATAGATTTTTTAGCTACTTAAAAGTACACTTTACCTCACCTGCCAAGGCCAGCGTCCAAATGGAGCGTTTTTTCCTCCGACAATTCGTGTTTGTGCATGAGCAAATAGGATAGGCAACCCGCAACCTGCAAACAGAACATAAATGTAAAACACATAAGGGCATATGACGTGCCACGCACGCCAAAATCATTCAATTTATGAGGCAACGTAAGAGGCAATCCGTAAAATGTAATGATTCTGTGTTAGAATATAACAACGAGTAACGAGACTGGTTCTGCCGAGTAGATGTTACCATGTAACACCCCCCCCCTCCCCCCATTTTTATAGCTTCCATGAAGTTTCCAAAACACGAAAATCATGCTAATAGCACACAAACTGAATTGCAATATCGATTATATCGATTTTTGTACCGAAAATCGTGTATTTTAATCGTATTTCCTTAGGGGCGTTTTTAAGGCCTAAAATCCGTTATTCGGACATTGGACCCCGAGCTATGATCATGAAATTAATAACAAATTGTTAGAGGGTACGTTAATTAAGCGCTTTGAACAAAAAAAATTGCCAGTTAATGTAATAGAAGTAGTGTGTAATAAGTATATAATATGCAATACAATTTTAGGTATAGTTCGAATCATACACAATATATGTGACACTTCCATGTGGATACATTTTAATAAGACCACTTTTGAATGTACACACAGTCTAAACCTGAACGCCTTGAAAAAACCGACGTCTTAGAGAGGGTTACATTTTGCCGTTTCTGTATCGATCACCTTATACACCCGAGAGGATAGGGACACCTTTCGTATCTTCCATGGGTCGCCTTTTACTTATCGACCGCCTTGTATATCCGAGAGGGCAGGGAACCTCTCGCATCTTCCATGGGCCGCCTTTTTCGTATCGACCGTCTTTTCCGTATCGATCGCCTTTTACACCCGAGAGGGGATGGGGTACCTCTCGCATCTTCACAGACAGCTTTTTTTTTGTATCGGTCGCCTTTTTGGTCTCAACCGCCGATTAACGTCAACCATCTTGTACACCAGAATGCAGAACAGTTCTTAATAAAATGAGTTTTAATGTACCTATGTCATGTTTCCAATTGGTAAATATTCTAATTATGATGCGTGGATAAAATACTGCTCATCTTGTAAAACATGTAGAGAACTGTTTATTGCTATTATAATATAATTACAAACACATACAAAGTTCTACATCAACATTAATTTTTTGAGGTCTATTAAAATATCTGCAAAACATCGTCGAAAAATGCTAACATAACCTCATAAGAAATTGAAGTATTGCGCATACTCTTACCAACTTAAAAAGTGATCATGAAATATGAAGTAACGTAAAGTCACATTTCCACGAAATTAACTTAACATTTATTAAGATTATGGAAAATTTTGGGCTTCTTCCGCAATTTTTTGTTAAAAACGCTTAATTTTGGTACCCTCTATCAATTTTTATTAATTTTATAATCGTATCTCGGGGTCCAAATCATGTCATGTAACCGTTTATTATAGTGTGTTGTGCGTTTTTTATTGGCAAGGGTTGCATTAATTAAATCACAATTATATTCAGTTGGTTGAAAAAGCAAAATGTTTACTTATTGTGACGAAGCTTTTCGAACGTTACCAAGCGCCATCAAGTCGATAAGGAATAAGAGTGTATGCGATTCATTTTTCTATAAAATATGGTATGCCAACGTTCCAGAATTTTCTAAAGGCTTTTTGTTTACTATACATACAAGAAAATTGTATTGTGTTTAGTTTTAATCGTAACATCGTTGTCGAAGTAATAAAATAAATATTAATTAATACTGTAATAAATCTATCCATTTAAAGACCGTTACACAGTGTGTCCCCGGATTGAGTTTTGATCAAAAATGTTTGAATCTCGGTATGATGCTTTGGGATCTCGGCCTGCTTGGTCTGAAAAGAATTTGAAACATTTTCTTACTTTTTACAATCCAAGAGCGATTCTCGGGTGATTAAGAGATGTCAACACTGAATTGAATTTGTTTGTTTTTGTTAACGTATTTAATTAAATTTCAAACCCCCTATTTCTTGCGTTTTATTTATGTTTGCCGATCCTTAGAGCTACACACAAATCTCCTCGAGCAACTCGTTTCCACAACACAATGTAACTCCTACCACTGAACAGTGAACAGGTTTGTTACTTGACGATCATGTGCCATGAGTTTCAGAGTTTCAGTTAGTTTTGGTAGGAGCTTTGATATTTGGTTTTGAGTTGCGCAGTCGTTTCTCGACTCGACTTTGGGTTATCATAAAGCAGGCACAGGATCTTGAGCCTTGACAAATACTAACGAAAATGACTATTGTTTGAGTTTTGTCCGATCCTTCGCTGAGCGAACTACTGCTACTTTCAATTATTTTTAAGGGAATTGTACTACACTCTTATAATTCTGGCACCAGGTAACGTTTCGGAATGGTAGTTTGCTAAATTATTAAATAAAATCAAAAAAGCTACTCAAATTACAGTCCAGTTTTCAGGTTATAACAGCATTAAACAACTTCAGAATTACTAAATTATGTGAAGAAGTATTGTCGAAATAGGAACCTCTTCGAAGTATTTTCAGAAGTGAATGACGACAAAATTTACTTTAAATATTCAAACTTAGTAACGATGACCAAATCAAAGTATTGCTTTTAAATCGGATTTCAAGTCAAGGGAAGTTGGATAAGTCAACCTACTCGTATTTACAAAAGTACATTCAATTTTGATTATATCCAATTCGAGACTTTGACGTTTGTAAAGGATATCAGATTCTAGTAGCCTAAATAAATGTGTTTTTTCTGTGTATATCAAAATGTTAGAGGGTACGCTACCCTACTCACAATAAAAACAGATAGTAATTTGACGCGAAAAGGGAAAGAAATCGGATATACATTGAAGGTATTAAAATAATCACGATAGCTTATGGAAGTATAGGTTGTAAATTTTATATCTTACAGTAGCCAAGATATTTTACTCTTTATATCTTACCGAGACGTGTATTTTCCTTTTACTTGTTTTATTTTATAAAGTGCTCTACTAATGGAAAAGGTTTTCTTACCTCCAGTTTCAGCGCTGGATACCGCAACGGAACTAAACGTAGATGTTGCCGTCATATCCGCAGGAAAAGAAACCTTCACAGAAGTAACTTCCGTGTTTACATTGCCAGAATAAAACGCCGTTGGTTTCGGTCTGAGAAAAGAGAAAGGAACACAGCTATTAATTTTGTTAAATCTTAAAAGCGCTTTAAATATAACTAAATATAACAATGGGAATTATGTAAATGGATTATTCAGTGGTCGGAAACTCAGCGAAGAAGATTACGTATTTCATAAGAAAATGCGTATTTTTTGTAATAAAGAGGATTAAATACTATGCAAAACTGCAAATACGTTAATAATTTAATAGAAATATATACCTAATTATTGCAGAAATTTAAAATCAAACCATCATACATAGTAACATCTTATTGATAAAAACAGAAATGTTGCTCTTAGCAACATAACTCATAGTTAAAATAGTTATTTACGTTATAAGTCCGGTAGGTTACTTGTAACAGTACGAGTTAGACATTATGGACGAGGCGACGTCAGGAGCCGAGTCAAGAATGTCTTAAACGAGTACTGTTACAAGTACTACCGGACGTATATCGTAACGTATTTTATTTCATACTGTAAGTCTGTTCTGTATCATTATTTCATTTCAAAGATTACAAAATTTCATTATATTGTAAAAATCGCATTACCTTGTTTCTGTGGCAACAGCCGTTGCTATAGTTTGTAGTTTGTTTACATTGAATTTTTTCACTTATAATTGCACAAGAGGTTTGTATTTTACCGAGTAAATTTGGGTTGTTTAGCCGTTTAGGTAATGAAAATCTGTTGCCTAGCAATTAGACGAGAAAAACTGTCAACTAATAAAAATGCGACACCGCAGGTGGAGCATTTTTAGGTTGACAGTTTTTCGAGTTCAATGGCTAAAAGGATACAGATTTGAGTTGCAACAACCCAAATTTACTCGGTTTAATACAAACCTCGAGTGTAATTCGGCAGGACAATTTAACGAACAAGAAATTCACGAAACTAATCAATTATTGACAGACGTCAAACTAGTCATATGGGAAAGGATAATGCGATAATTGGTTCGAAAATGAATAAGTGAAAAAACCACTAGTGCATTTGTCGCTGGAAAAGTTGCAGGTAACTTTTGCCGCTGTCAAAGTGACAATTTCACTGCGGCTTATGCGATTTTTTATACATGAGTTGAATTGTCACTAAAAATGGACGCTATAAACGTTGTGGGATGTTCCACTGTTCCCGATACAATCCTGTCGAAATCTCATGAAGCAAGCGAAAAGTTGGTTCCTAAGAAGTCGGCCGCAAGGTATGAAAAATAGTACTAAGTGTTTTGCCAATGGAGGAACGAACATGGGGCGAAACAAGTAGAGGAAAAAGTCATGCTGGTATACTTTTTGGATGCAGTAAGTTTTTGAATTGAGATTTTTCTGCCTGGGTTTCGGTGTTAAAGCGTCTTGGGGCATCGAAAAGCTCATCGACGGCAGAAAAATACATCGAAGGCTCGGTAGAAGGAAAAGTTAAGATTGCTCGTATGATACAACTGATACAAGGCGGCGAAAATTTCGTTGAAGTTCTACAGCAGAGGAATCAAACATTACTAACTCGACATCCAGTAATAACCCAGGTGTCAGTGTTGAGGGCAATACAAATTGTTTCATTGCAATCAATGTTAATGTCTGAAATAAACAATTACAGCCAAATTTATGTTGGGGTTTTTAATTAATTGTGTGAGGATGTCAAATTTGATGTATACAAATAACAGTCCGGTAAGTGTTGCTTAGCGACACATACCGGCTCTGATGCTGTTATAACTCACCTACCGGACCTTAGACCATATAGTACATGGACTGCTAATCGCCCTATGCTTTCAATACAAAATGGATGGTCATGGATAGAGGACACTGTAGTCGTGGGTATGTGAATCTCAGGGTAAACTAAAGTCGTGTAAGCACCACTAGGATCGCTTAAACAGCTTTATAGTAACCGCGTCGTACGGGAAGCTTTAAATACTCAAGTATTATATCCCAAGTGCACGCCAAATACCTGAATATTTTGTACTTATTTGTACCGCGGATACCAAATTTTGTACCACTACATTTTAATCGTTAGGACCAAATCTACATTGGGGTTGCAATTTAACGCCACAACCCCAAGTATTCACATTCTTAAAAATTTTTGTGCCAGAATTTTGTACTCATTTTGTACTAATTTGCACCGTAAATAAGAACTTTTGTACCACTACCTTTTAACAACTAGGACTAAATCTACATTGGGGTTGCAACTTAATGCTACGCCCCCAAGTGTATAGATTCTTAAAACTTTGTGTGCCATAATTTTGTACTCATTTTGTACTAATTTGTACCGTAACAAAAAAAATTTTGTTATCATTAGCTTTTAACCGTTACTATCAAATTAATTTTGGAGGTGCAACTTAACGGTACAACCCCGAATATACAAATTCATACAAATTTTCATGCCATAGTTTTGTACTCATTTTGTACTAATTTGTGCCGAAAGCAACTAGTTTTGTACCACTACTTTTTAATCGCTAGGACCAAATGTATATATGTTGTGGTTGCAACAGACAGATAAGCAGACAAATAGACAGACAGACAGACAGGCAAACAGTTAATTACGTAGATAATGCGTAACACACGTTTTTCAATGGACTATAAAGATGATGTACCTAATATAGGTATTTAGCTATTTACGAGGGTATTTATTTTCAGTGTAAATTGGTATAAAACTTTTGTTATACAGACTCAATTGTTTCTTTGCATCTTCAGTATCTATGTACCTACTCTCGATTTTCTCATTTGGTATTTGTAGCGTTTAACGAATTGAGGTAACGTTTATGTGCTCGATTTTCCGTCGCCTGTCTGTCTGTCTGTTCCATTGAAATCTCGCCCCTGGCCCAGTTAGAGACTTTGGGTGAGCAACAAAATAAGGTACGATGGTATTTTTTACTACCTATTTTAACATTTGGGCTCAGTTGGTCATTGCTGGTTTAAACTGAAGTTAACTTCGGAAGTTAAATTCTGGTTTAAAGAAATGTATTGGTTAATGTCCAGTGTTTCTTAAATCGGTAAAACACTCGTGTGAAATTAGCAGTCAGAATATAGCAGCCAAAATGCCGAAAACGAACAAACGACCAGTGGCTCGTTTACCATAAAAAACAAATTTGCGAATGCACTCTCGCATAGCAGCCATTTTCCAGCAGATAAACTAAAATTCATCTTAGATCCCTCTCTATTCGAAAGGAACAACATAAAACAATAAAAAATTCCTTTTGCAAAATAATTTCACATTTGAATTTAGCCTTAGTATCTTCAAAAAATTGGCATTCACTTACTGACCCACCTCATAGGGTGAAATCTGCCCCCAAAGTGTAAAAAATACATATAGAATCCTTAGAAAAAAGGTTTTACATTTATTAGGCTATTTGCATTGACTGATGATTGAATATTAATTAATATCCGCGCGACTTGATAGACACGGATGGTTAACTTATCCTATAAGCCGTTTGACAGCTTTATTGGGGTAAATTATTGCCTATGTGAATATGGACAAAAAAAACACGTATTCTACCAAGACGGAACAAAGACTCTCTAATGAAGAAATGGTTACATTTTCGAAAAAAATTAATACGTATTACATGCCTGCTTTTAATTTTCATTTTACACTTTCCTGGTGGTGATGAAAAGGAAAACGAAAGTGAAAATCCTGAGGTAGATAATCCAGTTCGAAGAAGAGCATATGTGACATGAAGGAGGTAGAAAACTGGCGGGGTTTGGCAGGTGTACAAAAAAGGAAATATAAATCGTATTTAACACAAAATTCGGAATGGTTAAGAAAGGACTTGAGCCAGTTAAAACCTGTGTTACCAATTGGGTTGTTAAAAAACGGCAACAAGGATTCACTTCGTCCCCTAAATGTGAACGGCGAAAGAGTAGTACTGGCCAATACGTGTGCCTTTGATGCACTTCTTCAGATTATCTGTTCAGCGTATTGCGACAGCGACCTATATAAAAGCTATGCTATGTGGATGCCACTGAAGCAAGCTGGCTAGGGAAATCATCACGCACGGAATCACTTCAAAAGAGTCGCGCAGGAAAGTTATAGTTTGTACAAACCAATTTATGTCAATGAGACCTTTCGTTGGAATACCATGAAGTGTAGAACGTGGTGTTAACCCCCCCCCCCCACACTCGCACACACATTTTCAAAAGTTTTACTTGGCACCACTAATAGAATGCGTATGAAAAATCCCTCACCAATTGGTTGCTATGTAACAGTGGATGCACGTTTCGGAGCCCTCCCTTTAAGACAGTAAAATTTAATGGCCGTCGTAGTTCAAAGTAAGTAGTTCACAAAACGGCAGAAGTGGGTCCGAACGGACGGACGGACAAAACGCAAACAATAGCACATTTTTTTTAATTCTTAAAAAAGTCGCTAAAACATATCCGCAATGTTCTACGTACTGAGATCCCAACCCCCAACACGGACGGATTCACTACTACGAGTACCTAAGAAAAATTGAAAAAAGGGACAAAATAACGTACGTAAAAATAATTTCCTTATAAAGATACATTATATTAGTGCATAATCATGGAACAAAATTGTGACCCCAATATAGATGGGATACTAGTGGATGGAACTCAGTGGTACAAATTTAATGCAAAATGAGTACAAAATCAAGGGTCAAGAATTTTATGAATGTACATACATATATGCACGAGATAGTAACGTTAACATATATTTGATCCTAGCTGTGAAAAAGTACTGGTACAAAATTAGTTACTTACAGTACAAATTAGTACAAAATGATGGCGCGAAAATTTTCATGGTTTTGTATACTCGGGGTTGTACCGTTAAGTTACACCTCCAAAATTAATTTGATAGTGGCGGTTAAAAGGTAATGGTACAAAATTTTTTGCTTACGGTACAAATGAGTACAAAATGAGTACAAAATTATCGGCCATGCATTTATAGAAATCTGTGTACTTGGGGTTGTGGCATTAAGTTGCAACCCCAATGTAGATTTGGTCCTAGTGGTTAAAAGGTAGTGGTACAAAACTTATTATTTACGGTACAAATTAGTACAAATTGAGTACAAAATTGTGGCACAAACGTGTTTAAGACTCTGAATATTTGGGGTGGTGGCGTTTAGTTGCAACCCCAATGTAGATTCGGTCCTAACGATTAAAATGTAGTGGTACAACATTTGGTATCCGTGGTACAAATAAGTACACAATTAGTACAAAATAACGGTATTAATAGATTTGCTATTCTTTTTAGTGGGGGTTGCAACTTAATGCACCCTTTATTACTTTTCACTCAACGTCTTTAGGTAATTAAGTATAACAGGGTTGAGTACAGGGTAAACTAGTACACAGTAGGCACAATGCAATATAATTCTCTATTTTTGAAAATGAACTAAAACAGACACACAGTTTCAAGCTGTTGAGGGAGTTAATACCTTGCAAATTATGCAAGGTGTTGGTTAAATCATTTGAATTCTGGAGATTTGCGAAGATAATGCTGCCAAATGTGGTAAAAAGATGTTTAGATAGTCTCATAAGTTATTTTATACACGTAAAGACGATTTTGTGTGCACGTGTTCCATACGTAGATTAACACTAAGTATATCTTGGTCAAAGAGTCAAAATGTTTCAATATATTCCTCTTGCCCATCTAGGCAGTGTACTCTTTTGTTGCGCAACCAACGATACAATCACAAACAGCAATGCCTTACATGGGATTCGAACCCAGTACCCTTGTAACCAAAGTTCGGCTTACAGCTATTAACATAAACTCAACTAAATTGTCCAGGTCGGCCCTTACAAGGAAGCAAGGACTTACTGATGAACGGACGGACGGATCAAACCCTGGGTATAGCACATTTTATCAACACTGTTTTTGTATAATTTTGTATAATGGTATGTTTCTCAAAACTGTTGACCACTTTCTCTGTCCGTCCGTCTGTCCGAGGCCTTCACTACTCCTACAGTTTTCAAGATATTTAGTTCGTTCTTTTTGCATTCGGTAGCGTATCGCTCTGGCACCTGAGTCAAGGCAAATCTTGACGATTGAACTGCGCATGCGCAGGCTGCGCAATGTTGACTTTTATTTATTAATATATTTTGTTGAAATTTTAATCACAGATACATGTAGTAAAGGCATAGGCAAATATATCGCATATAGTAAAAATCAAATGTGCGCATGCGCAGACTGCGCGTAGCCAACTTTCTTATTTATGGAGATATTTCTTTGAAATTTTAACCAAAGATGCTTATAGTAAAAGAAAACGTATTGCATATTGTAAATATCAGATTAATAAGCGCCTGCGCAGGACGCGCAATATCAACTGCGCAGTAAGTGTCAACTTCCTTATTTATGAAGATATTTCTTTAAAATTTTAACCATACAGGGTGACAATTTGAAAACTTACCACCCCCATATCTTAGTAAATAAACGAGATATTTAAAAAAATCAAAATCCGTTTCGGTAATTCGGAGGGGGAATCACAATGACATAGTTGGCGACGCACCCCCTCCAACCCCTGCGCCCCAGCCACCCCAACTTTTAAATCTTAAATAGTGACCCCCCATGTGTGATACGTCGTTGGAAAGCTCTGAAAAAATGCTTTCCAACCATACCAAATAGCATCACATTTAGGTTAGTAATTATCGTGCAAATCAAAAAATAAACTAATATGATACATTTGAAATCTGTCGTATTAAAATTAAAACGCAACCGGCGAACTAGGGCGCAGGGGGTGTGAGGGGGTGCGTCGCCAACTATGTCATTGTGATTCCCCCTCCGAATTACCGAAACGGATTTTGATTTTTTTAAATATCTCGTTTATTTACTAAGATATGGGGGGTGGTAAGTTTTCAAATTGTCACCCTGTATATGCCTCTAGTAATGAAAAACATAGCGCACATAGGTATGGCCTTTGGGGAAGTATTGATCAATTTATGGGAAATGCGCTGAAGTTACTCGCCTTAGGGCAAAAACCTTTTTATTTTAATCATAAACTAATAGCAACATTGCGTAAATACTTTTTCGATATCTCAGAATGTTATAATATTCTAAATTAATGAGGCTGGTTGTGCTGCAAGAAAGATATATCTATATATCGTTATCTAAATCGCCGTGTTTTTCTTTATGGTGGCAGTTTTACAATTTTTAAACTATTGTGAAACCATAATTTTGTGTTAATGCCACTCATACATTATGTAACAGACAGCCTCTTCAATAGATGTTATATTCACAAACTTTATGTCAAGCTATAAAAATAAAAACCGTAAGTACTAAACTCAAAACTCATAAATTTAAAAAAATGACTGAGAAAATACCAAAATGGCTGTATTTCATTGTTACCTTCATTTATTATTCACGATGACATTTTTTGATGAAAGAACGATATAATTCAATTTTCTACAACCGCTTAAGCTCGTACGAACTTTTAGTGCCGTTCCGAATTTTAAATTTAGTCCACTGCTTCATTTACATTTTATTGTAGCTTAAATGTCTAAACGTACGGAAATCGCTTTCTACTAAAATATTTACTTCTTTGTCGACCAAAAGATAATTTTACTTATGAATTTTTTTGGAATTTGACTTACGAGACGCATGCCTTCTACAAAAAAAAGATCAAATTACATACGATTTTGACGTCTGCGGTTATGCATTTCGCAATATCCATAAAGCGAAAAAACTGCGGGCTGTCAGTTTTTGCGGAAGGGTGAATTCAATCCCCGCCTTTGTGCCGCAGACATTCTCGTTGAAACTTTTTGGCAAAGTTTACAGAGAAATTGCAATTATACGCTGTGTAATCTGCCTAACAGTGCTGAACATTAAAATTTCTCTTGAATATTAAGTTTTATCCAGTAAGTTGTTTCACACGACTCAAATATAACAATGTTTAATGGATTATTCGCAACTATATTTCGCACTGAGGAAACTGTTTATCGGTCAGGCATGTAGAAATTGTAATGGCGCGTCTCACTATAGTAGCAATTAATAATATTCGAACAATTTAATTAAATAGGTACCTTTATATGCCTTTAATTATTAACCGTCTTGTGCAAACTTCGCAACTTCAGAGTGTATAAAGGGAGTAGGAATCCACAACTTGGCTCTGCAAGGACGTTGGAATAAACACGCTGATTAAAAGGCCGATTCTCACTATACATAACGTTTCCATACCATATCCTTTCCATAACCATTCCGTAAATTATTATACCTTAGGAAATTGACCTTTAAGTGATATGTGCGTAAGACATTCAGCCGCGCGCTAATACACATTCTCCTTTCCGTTCACATGGCGAATGTGTTATAGCGCGCGACTGAATGTCTTACGCACATATCACTTAAAGGTCAATTTCCTAAGGTATAATAATTTACGGAATGGTTATGGAAAGGATATGGTATGGAAACTTTATGTATAGTGAGAATCAGCCTTAACAAAACTCGTCATATACTGTAAATCGAGAAATGGGTTATCACAGCAATGCGATTTGGAGAAAAACAGTCTTGGAAAAATAATAATAGACTCGCGTTGTAATCAAGTGCCAAATTCTGGACAGAACAGCTTCCTAGCTCAAACCAGATATTTAAAAAAATGTGTTTTATTTCATACTGTCCGGTAGATGTTCGATTACACTATTAATTTAAGTCCGGTAGGTGAGTTATTACAGCATCAGAGCCGGTAAGTGTTGCGTAGCGACACCGGCACGGATTAAAATCAAGTAACGATTAGTGTCTGTGTCTGATGAAGTTATGTAGGGTCCTTAAAAAAAAAATCACACACGTACATTGGACATCTAGGGATAGTATGTAATTCGTACTTACCAACATACCTATTGATGGGCACAATAGCCAACGCTATCAGGAAAGAGGAAAACAAAACAAAACAAAAAATCATTATAATAATTCCTGTAACTTTATTAAATGGAGTTTATTGTGTAAGTGTTTCTTTGGCTTTGCGTTTGGGTTGAATACGAGTGGGTTGTGATAACGTGGTGTGTTTCTGTGAAGAAGGAGTTTTGTGTTTTTTAATTGTATTTATGGTGTTTCTTTGTTCCTGAGGTCGTATTTGTGAGGTTGCTTGGTTTATTATTATTATCGGTGTTTCTTGTGAGAACTCAGGTCTAGCCTGGTTAACTAATCGCACGGATTAAAATCAAGTAACGATTAGTGTCTGTGTCTGTGTCTGGTGAAGTTATGTATGTAAAAAAAAAAAAAAAATTAAAATCACACACGTACATTGGACATCTAGGGATAATGTAATTCGTACTTACCAACATACCTATTGATGGGCACAATAGCCAACGCTATCAGGAAAGAGGAAAACAAAAAAAATCATTATAATAATTCCTGTAATTTTATTAAATGGAGTTTATTGTGTAAGTGTTTCTTTGGCTTTGCGTTTGGGTTGAATACGAGTGGGTTGTGATAACGTGGTGTGCTTCTGTGAAGAAGGAGTTTTGTATTTTTTAATTGTATTTATGGTGTTTCTTTGTTCCTGAGGTCGTATTTGTGAGGTTGCTTGGGTTTTTGGTGGAGATATTGCAGTATTTTGTGAGCCTGTGTTAAGGTTTTTGCGTTTCGGTTGTATACGAGTGGGTTGTTTCTGACAAGAAGGAGTATTGTGTTTTTTAACTGTGCTAGGGCGTGTAACTTTATTGGATGGACCTGTCTTTGTAGTACATGTTGCGTTACTTGTGTTTATGGTGTTTCTTTGTTCTTGAAGTTGTATTTGTGAGGTTGCTTGGGTTATTGATGGAGATATTACAGTATTTTGTGAGCTAGTAGTGCTGTATAGGTTTCTGCGTTTGGGTTGAATACGAGTGGGTTGTGATAACGTGGTGTGCTTCGGTGAAGAAGGAGTTATGTGTTTTTTATTTGTGCTAGGACGTGTAACTTTATTGGGTGGACCTGTCTTTGTAGTGCAAGTTGCGTTACTTGTATTTGTTGTGTTTCTTTGTTCTTGAGGTTGTATTTGTGTGGTTGCTTGGGTTTTTGGTGGAGATATTACAGTATGTTGTGAGCGTGTAGTTCTGTTAAGGTTTTCGCGTTTCGGTTGAATACGAGTGGGTTGTGATAACGTGGTGTGTTTATGTGAAGAAGGAGTTTTGTGTTTTTTAACTGTGCTAGGACGTGTAACTTTATTGAGTGGACCTGTCTTAGTAGTGCAAGTTGCGTTACTTGTATTTATGGTGTTTATTTGTTCTAGAGGTTGTGTTTGTGTTGTTGCTCGCATTATTGGTGGAGACATTACGGTATTTTGTGAGCCTCTAGTGCTGTTAAGGTTGCTGCGTTTGCGTTGAGTACGAGGGGGTTGTGATAACGTGGTGTGTTTCTGAGAGGAAAGAGTATTGTGTTTTTTAGCTGTGCTAGGCCGTGTAACTTTATTGGGTGAGGGCGTCTTTGTAGTGCATGTTGCGTTATTTGTATTTATTGCGTTTGTTTGTTCAGGAAGTTGTGTTTGTGTGGTTGGTTGAGTTAAGGGTGGAGATATTACAGTATGTTGTGTGTCATGTTGTGACTCTAAAGTGCTGTTTAGGCTTTTGCGTTTGGGTTGAATACTAATGGGTTGTGATAATGTGGTTTGCTTCAGAGGTGAATCTCTGATTGTAGTGTATGTTGTATCATTTGTTGTACTTGTTTGTTCGGTAAGTTGTATTTGTGTGTTTGTTTGGGTTAGAGGTGGAGATATGTTGTGTATGTTGTGTACCGTGTTGTGAGGGAGTGCTGTTGTTTACATGTATACGTTGTGGATCATTTCTGTATGTAGTATCTTGTGTTATGTTTAGAAATTTACGAACAATATGGCATGTGTTGATAATGACTGCTTTTTGTAAATGTTTGTATGTGTTTTTGTCCAAACCTAATAGTTGTAAATTGTGGTGTATTGTCTTTGGTATAACTCCGGTAGCACTAAGAATAATGGGAACTATAACAGTAGATTTCATTCTCCATTGCGTCTTAAGCTCGATAGCTATATCGGTGTATTTGCGGTGTTTTTCTGCATGTGTTTTAGTTAAGTTGTTAGTGTTTGGGATGGCAATGTCTATAATACAAATGGATTTTTGTGTTTTATCTATAAGTGTAATGTCTGGTCTATTATTGTGGATAGTTTTGTCTGTGAGTAGTGTCCTGTCCCAATATAATTTGTGTGTGTTGTTTTCAAGTAAGATCTGTGGCGTGTATTTGTAGTATGGTGTCTTATCTGTTATGAGATTGTGTTTAAGTGCTAATTTTTGATGTATGATTTTAGCTACCTGATCGTGTCGATGTTTGTATTCAGTTTGTGCAATTATTATTATTATTATTATTGTCGGTGTTTCTTGTGAGAACTCAGGTCTAGCCTGGTTAACTAATCTAATTATTACTATACTATATATACTAATTATTATTATTATTATTATTATTATTATTATTATTATTATTATTATTAATAATAATAATAATATTCCTTCTGCTGTAGAATGAAATTTTCGCCGCCTTGTATCAGTTGCATCATACGAGCAATCTTAACTTTTCCTTCTACCTTCGATGTATTTTTCTGCCGTCGATGAGCTTTTCCATGTCCCATGACGCTTTAACATCGAAACCCAGGCAAAAAAATCTCAATTCAAAAACCTACTGCATCCAAACAGTATGCCAACATGACGTTTTTCTCTACTTGTTTCGCCCCATGTTCGTTCCTCCATTGGCAAAACACTTAGTACTCTTTTTCATACCTTGCGGCCTACTTCTTAGGAACCAACTTTTCGGTTGCTTCATGAGATTTCGACAGAATTGTATCGGGAACAGTGGAACATCCCACAACTTTTATAGCGTCCATTTTTCAGTGAAAAAAATTCAATGTCAACAAACTACAAACTATAGCAACGGTCGTTGCCACAGAAACAAGGTAATGCGATTTTTACAATATAATGAAATTTTGTAATCTTTGAAATGAAATAATGATACAAAACAGACTTACAGTATGAAATAAAATACGTTACGATATACGTCCGGTAGTACTTGTAACAGTACTCGTTTAAGACATTCTTGACTCGGCTCCTGACGTCGCCTCGTCCATAATGTCTAACTCGTACTGTTACAAGTAACCTACCGGACTTATAACGTAAATAACTATAACAATCTTACACCCTTTATGCCTAATGTAGCGTTTACCGAAAAAAAATGTAGGTTTTTAACTTTGACATTTTGCTTCTCGGTGTTTTTGTACTAAAACCTACCATATTTTTTTAAGGTTGTACATAGAACAAGAAACTTTTTTGTATAATGCAGTTGTAGCGTGCGTAGGGCAAGGTAGGGCTTAGTAGTAACTATTTTCAGTTGCGAAGCTAAGTATCCTAGGCATAAAATAAAGTCTAATATGAGTTCCCAATTACAGTAAATCTGGTTCAACGGGTTTCATATCATTCAAATGCTTCATGGAGTACACAAATTCGAAAGCATTCGCGATGTCGCTCACGGTAGACGACATTGGACAACTTCTCGATTCCAGGCTGTTTTGTATTGTGAGGCCTGAAACAATGTGACTTCAGCCCAGCAGTTCAAGTGGAGATTTAAAATGCGAGAAAATGGCGGAAGTAACTATCTGGTGAAAGATCGAATTTCAAATGCCGATACATCAGGAGTAGAGTTTTGAGAAATCGCACTCGATCATGACTCGTTAAAGGATGATAAGGGGAACCTTATCGAACACGAATACTCAGGGAGGTGGGAGCCCTAAAGTCATAGCTTCCTCTACAACTCTACAACATTTAGGTGGCGACTTCTGAGGGGTTGTGAAGTGATAAATTTGTGCATCTTATTTTCTTGGAATTTCATGGTTTTTAGAACCAGCACGTGAAAGCCTCAAGGGTATACACGGGTTAGTTGCAGATATAATAATAAAGTTTATTCGTGTACGATTATGTGAAGGCTGTCACATGTCAAGTAAATATACTGATCAATGCAATATAGGCCGGGCGCTAAAGGGTTTGAGCATGCATTGGAAGTCTAACGCAGTTTGACTTTTGATTATTGTTGGGAGCATATAGTAGATGAAAAAATCGATGTCGTCGCATTTCCGCGGAGGGCATCACATGAGGGGGAAGGGGCAAAGTCGCGCGCGTGGCGATTCACTGTATC